CAGACCCTCTCGGCCCCCAAGTCGACCGGCACATGGTACAAACGTCAACACACTGCCGGTACAAGGGAGGGTCTCACAAAGCTTGGCTGCTTCACTTCACAGCAAAGACCAAGCCACCCACTGCCAAGCCGACTCAAGCAACCCCTACCGCTCTCCTGGCCTTCCTTTCGTGCCACAGATGCAAACCTTCCAAACAAGACATGCCCCTGAAACTGTGACCAGCTGCTGCAAACTGCAAGCGGCCCGTGTCTGGTTCAGAACCACCCTGCAGGGCAGACCCTCTCGGCCCCCAAGTCGACGGGCACATGGTACAAAAGTCAACACACTGCCGGTACAAGGGAGGGTCTCACAAAGCTTGGCTGCTGCACTTCACAGCAAAGACCAAGCCACCCACTGCCAAGCTGACTCAAGCAACCCCTACAGCTCTCCTGGCCTTCCTTTCGTGCCACAGATGCAAACCTTCCAAACAAGACATGCCCCTGAAACTGTGACCAGCTGCTGCAAACTGCAAGCGGCCGGTGTCTGGTTCAGAACTACCCTGCAGGGCAGACCCTCTCGGCCCCCAAGTCGACCGGCACATGGTACAAACGTCAACACACTGCCGGTACAAGGGAGGGTCTCACAAAGCTTGGCTGCTGCACTTCACAGCAAAGACCAAGCCACCCACTGCCAAGCCGACTCAAGCAACCCTACCGCTCTCCTGGCCTTCCTTTCATGTCACAGATGCAAACCTTCCAAATCAAGCATGCCCTTGAAACTGTGACCAGCTGCTGCAAACTGCAAGCGGCCCGTGTCTGGTTCAGAACCACCCTGAAGGGCAGACCCTCTCGGCCCCCAAGTCGACCGGCACATGGTACAAGCGTGAGCACACTGCCGGTACAAGGGAGGGTCTCACAAAGCTTGGCTGCTTCACTTCACAGCAAAGACCAAGCCACCAAATGCCAAGCTGAATCGAGCAACCCCAACCGCTCTCCTGGCATTTCTTTCATGCCACAGATGCAAACCTTCCAGCAAGGCCTACCCCTGAAACTGTGACCAGCTGCTGCAAACTGCAAGCGGCCCGTGTCTCGTTCAGAACCACCCTGCAGGGCAGACCCTCTCGGCCCCCAAGTCGACCGGCACATGGTACAAACGTCAACACACTGCCGGTACAAGGGAGGGTCTCACAACGCTTGGCTGCTTCAAATCACAGCTAAAACCAAGCCACCAACTGCCAAGCTGAATCAAGCAACCCCAACCGCTCTCCTGCCCTGACTTTAATGCCACAGGTGCAAGCCTTTCAAACAAGACATGCCCCTGAAACTGTGACCAGCTGCTGCAAACTGCAAGCGGCCCGTGTCTGGTTCAGAACCACCCTGAAGGGCAGACCCTCTCGGCCCCCAAGTCGACCGGCACATGGTACAAACGTCAACACACTGCCGGTACAAGGGATCTTCAAATCACAGCTAAAACCAAGCCACCAACTGCCAAGCTGGATCAAGCAACCCCAACCGATCTCCTGCCCTGACTTTGATGCCACAGGTGCAAACCTTCCAAACAAGACATGCCCCTGAAACTGTGACCAGCTGCTGCAAACTGCAAGCGGCCGGTGTCTGGTTCAGAACCACCCTGCAGGGCAGACCCTCTCGGCCCCCAAGTCGACCGGCACGTGGTACAAACGTCAACACACTGCCGGTACCAGGGAGGGTCACAAAGCTTGCCTGCTTCACTTCGCAGCAAAGACAAAGCCACCAACTGCCAAGCCGCTTCCTTTCATGCCACAGGTGCAAACCTTCCAAACAAGGCATACCCCTGAAACTGTGACCAGCTGCTGCAAACTGGAAGCGGCCGGTGTCTGGTTCAGACCCGCAAGGGAGGGTCTCACAACGCTTGGCTGCTTCACTTCACGGCTAAAACAAAGCCATCAACTGCCAAGCTGAATCAAGCAACCCCAACATCTCTCCTGGCCTTCCTTTCATGCCACAGGTGCAAGCCTTCCAAAGAAGACATGCCCCGAAAACTGTGACCAGCTACTGCAAACTGCAAGCGGCCCGTGTCTGGTTCAGAACCACCCTCTCGGCACCCAAGTCGACCAGCACATGGTACAAACGTAAACACACTGCCAGTACAAGGGAGGGTCTCACAAAGCTTGGCTGCTTCACTTCGCAGCAAAGACCAAGCCACCAACTGCCAAGCCGCTTCCTTTCATGCCACAGGTGCAAGCCTTCCAAACAAGACATGCCCCTAAAACTGTGACCAGCTACTGCAAACTGCAAGCGGCCCGTGTCTGGTTCAGAACCACCCTGAAGGGCAGACCCTCTCGGCCCCCAAGTCGACCGGCACATTGTACAAACGTAAACACACTGCCGGTACAAGGGAGGGTCTCACAAGGCTTGGCTGCTTCACTTCACAGCTAAAACCAAGCCACCAACTTCCAAGCTGAATCAAGCAACCCCAACCGCTCTCCTGGCCTTCCTTTCATGCCACAGATGCAAACCTTCCAAACAAGACATGCCCCTGAAACTGTGACCAGCTGCTGCAAACTGCAAGCGGCCCGTGTCTGGTTCAGAACTACCCTGCAGGGCAGACCCTCTCGGCCCCCAAGTCGACCGGCACATGGTACAAACGTCAACACACTGCCGGTTCAAGGGAGGGTCTCACAAAGCTTGGCTGCTGCACTTCACAGCAAAGACCAAGCCACCCACTGCCAAGCCGACTCGAGCAACCCCTACCGCTCTCCTGGCCTTCCTTTCATGCCACAGATGCAAACCTTCCAAACAAGACATGCCCCTGAAACTGTGACCAGCTGCTGCAAACTGCAAGCGGCCCGTGTCTGGTTCAGAACTACCCTGCAGGGCAGACCCTCTCGGCCCCCAAGTCGACCGGCACATGGTACAAACGTCAACACACTGCCGGTTCAAGGGAGGGTCTCACAAAGCTTGGCTGCTTCAAATCATAGCAATGACCAAGCCACCAACTACAAAGCTGAATCAAGCAACCCCAACCGCTCTCCTGCCCTGATTTTCATGCCACAGGTGCAAACCTTCCAAACAAGACATGCCCCTGAAACTGTGACCAGCTGCTACAAACTGCAAACGGCACGCGTCTGGTTCAGAACCGCCCTGAAGGGCAGACCCTCTCGGCCCCCAAGTCGACCGGCACATGCTCCCGGTGCAAGGGAGGGTCTGCTTCAAATCACAGCAAAGACCAAGCCACCAACTGCCAAGCTGAATCAAGCAACCCCAACCGCTCTCCTGGCCTTCCTTTCGTGCCACAGGTGCAAACCTTCCAAACAAGACATGCCCCTGAAACTGTGACCAGCTGCTGCAAACTGCAAACGGCCCGTGTCTGGTTCAGAACCGCCCTGAAGGGCAGACCCTCTCGGCCCCCAAGTCGACCGGCACATGGTGCAAACGTCAACACACTGCCGGTACAATGGAGGGTCTCACAGCGCTTTGATGCGTTTAGCTTCCAAGCTTGCAACCGGCAACGGCCAAGCCATCAACGGCCAATCAGAATCAAGCGAACCTCCTTCTTTGCTGCCTGTCATGCTACCTCCAAACTCAATCGCCACCGCTGCCAAGAAACAACTCAGCGCACAAGCCAACACCAGCACTTCAATCTCAACTAACCCACACCAGACCAATCTCAACCCAACCCCAAGTTGCAAAGAATCCCAGCTGCTTCCCAAAATGACCAACCCCAGAAATGGCAGGTGTACCTTCTGTTCACAAGTCAGGCAAGCCAGGCCGGCGAGCAAACATGCTCGCAACAGACACCATGCGCCGCTATGCAGATATTAATCAGAAAGGAAAAAGAAACAACCACAAAATGGAGGCTAGAAACAATTACAAAAGTGCGCTCAAGATTGCGAGGACTGGCATCTTGAAGAACTGGAAGAAAAAAACCGTCTTGGGATTGGAGGAGAAACAAAATAGCAAGCTCGAGATTGGAAAACAACGAGAGAAAAGAAGAAAACCGACTTTTGCCAGGGGGATTTCGTGCGCCAGACTGCCAGACTTCGAGTCCCTGCAAAAACCGGTTCTCTTGCTGGTTGACCAGGAAGGTGCAGGAAAGCCGAAACCCACAATTTGCACACAGGCTCAGCAAACGTCCAAGCCGAAAACTGGGCTCTGGCCCCTGCCAGAAGCCACCCCAGTCTCCTCCTGCAGCTCTGATCCGTAGAGCTCCACGTCCTTCCAAAAAGACGCGGAAACCCCGCTGCCAAACCGAATCCACCGGGACGCGGAAAAAAACAAATAAGAACCTGTGCCAAACCATGTGCAACGAGGTCCGGGAGTCTTTTTCGCACCGGAGATGCTGCTCAAGAAGCACGGTGCAACAGTGCGTGCGTGCTTGCCCGCGACTGAAACCGGACATGTCAGGCTCGGAACTTCTTTTGTGGGTTCAAGGAGCCCTTACCTTGCTCGTTCTCAGCAGGGCCTGCAGGAATGACCCCCATGAGCCAGAAGGTGCTTCCTTTACATAACAGGTTTCATTGGTTCATTCCCAAAACCCTCATTCACTGAGAACCTGAGATCCAGCTATGATGCTTGTCCTGGCTTTGGGCCTTCTGTCTCTGCGTTGCCAAACAACAAGCAGAGCCCTGAACAAATTGCTTGCTTCCCCCAGAGGACATGGGAAATTTGGGTAGGAGCTATGGTGAGGATTGTGGAATACTTGGGTGGCCCCTCATATCCTCCGCAAACAAAGAAGAGGCTGACAGTTATTGTGTCAGTTCCTCACGTTTGCAGAAACAAGCGATCCGACGACAAGGGAACCCCTTTCACCATTCGCGGTCTTCCAAGCAAGGAGTGTTCACACCAACGAATTGAAACTTTCACACAAGCCAATCTCAGCCACCGCGTCTTGCCTTTGGCGCAAAAGCAAAATCATTTTGGGACCATAGGTTGATTTCCCCCAACCCTGGTTGGTCGATCTGTCCTTCAGCTCTTCCTTCTCTGCCTTCTTCGCATCCTCAGCTTGCGGTCTGGCGAACTGTGAATCGCTCGGTTTACCCCCAGAAAGAGTGAGCTCCTTGGCGCAAGTCTGGAACTACTGGCGCAGGCAAAGCGGGAAACTGGCTACGAACCTTACCAGCAGCACCGGCAAGGTGCGCCGACGTATTCTTTTGAGGGTGTGTCTTTTTTGAGGGTACCCGTTTTGGTTTGCTTTAAGGGAAACCAAAAGGAAAACCACCGTTTTGAGGGGTCCCCAAAAAAAAGGCCCCATATGATTCCAGGTTTCTTTGCTGCAACTGTTGACTAAGTGACCACTGACCACTTAACAAGTTGACCAACAAAATGTTTCAAGCCTTGTCTCTGCATGGCTAAGGCTCTCATACCTAGGCCGGAAACATGCTGTCAGCCTCCACGTTTCAGCAGCTCCACATGAAAATAGCCCGTGCCAAGGTGTCTCAAACCGCAAAACCGATTGGTAAATGATCAGGACACGGACACCTGCGGAACTTCTGGATGTTCCGCTGAACTGACCCCAAAAAGGCCACTTATGATCTGCGCATATTGGCATTGTATGTGTGCAGATATGTACGTATTTGTCACATCTGGATACAAAGGCTGCATGTGCAGCTGCAGGACGGTATGCAGAAGGAGGAGGCAAAATATCGTGTGAGCCGGGGGCAGGAAATTAGTCCGAACTGACACGTGAGTAAGCACATGTTCCCATGGTAATTTGGTGAGTGCCTCATGTACCCCTGTCGACAATATTGAATTGTGGACCATCGCTGGTGTTTGCTTGGCGTCGAACTGGATAGCCCCTTCAAAAGATGCAATTTCATTGAAAATACTCACTATTAGGGGCGTGTCACACAGAAAAAGAAAAAGGAAAAACGGATTCCCGGCCTACCGGGACACCCTATCAATCAACCGCGGCTTTGTCTTGCTGGTGTCAGCAGGGAATGAGTCATGGAAATTTAAAAAATCACCTAGGGATTCCCTGAAAGGAAACCAAATCGGGGATTGTTTATAGGGGTCATTCCAACTCATTCCCTGCCCCATTCAACCAGCAACTTCCGCCCGACATCGCGTGCTCGATTTGGCCCGGGCCGACTTTTGGACCTTCCCCGTCTCCGCTGAGGCCTCGCCGCAGAGCCAGCCGGCGCAAGCCCGCGGGCCGGCTCATTGAAACCCGAACAGGAAACCCCGACGAACAAAATGGGGAAATGGGTCAAAATATGGAGGTGTCTTTTTTCCGAGTGCCACTGCCTGACATATGTTGGTGAGACACAGTTGGATCTTCACCATACACGATGCGCATTATTTGCTCATGGAAATCTTGCCATAGACTTGGTACATGCACTCCAGATTAACCCGAAACAATGGTTCCCCGCATGGCTCTTAGGTTTCGGATCTCCATATTTGGAAGCCCACGTTGAATTGCATCGGAGTATCTGATGCTTGCATGTCCTAGAAGGAATAAATGTATAAACCAATATATGAACCTCTAGAATGAAGCCTTGGATAATGGCTTGACTAGCCCTTGACCATTGCTTCATTCTGGGGAAAAAAATGGCATGGGCTTGTATATGGACGTATAGCCCTTTTGGGCAAAGGGTACCTTTTGCTCGCTGGGCAAGAGTATTGACCGAAATTTGACGCCCGTGTGGATCCCTCCGCCATATGTCTTGGGGGTCGTGCATGGTGGTCGAAATGACCGTTTCCGTGATCCCAAGGTAGTTGACCCACTACTCATCACTTTCGAGGTGATTCCCTCACTGAAAGTGGCCGATTCAATCTTGAACAACCATCAGATCAGGATATTGAAATAAGGCCAGTCGTTGAAAAGCAGACTGAAAACCGACTTTGATCACCACAGCAAAATCATCAAGACCAGCCCACGCGGAGTGCGAGCAAAGAGCCGAACTCAAACCAGTATTGAAAGAGTGTAAACATGCAGACCCCAAACTTCTTTTTCAACATCATTTCGGCTTCCCCTTCAAGGGCTCCATGTTGCCCGTGTACCTTTGCCCCGCTCCTTGCTGGGCTCCCTTCCGGACCATCCGCACCCTAAACCCACCATTCCACCCGAATCCACCTAAAAACCAACCTTTTTAACCACTCCTAAGCCCAACCTGCGGATGCGGGACCCGCGTTTGCGCCTTGGACTTCTGCTTGGAGGCAATCGCCTTGATGTCCGCCTCGCGCTTGGCCTGGGCCTGAGACACGCTTGAGACCGGTGCGGAAGCACCCGTGCCGGACACCGAAGCTGTGAACCCAAACGGGGTCGATATGTGCTGAGCTTGCTAATGCGATTCCTGCTCATGTGCGATCCGTACCAACAACTAGCCAAAGGTGCCCACTTGGGTGGTCCGGGACGAGTGGCTGAATGGCCAGTAAACCTAGCTACAACCCACTGAACGGAGACTAATAAGGGAGGTCCCATCATAGCCGGTTCAGTTTTTCAATTTTGTCGTTGGGGCCACGGTATGGCCACTATATGAAGGGTGTACCCCTGTTCTGTACAGCCCGGTGGTTTGGGGGAAGTGGAAGCCATCTTGCAGTTTTGAAGTCTAGGGAAAACCACAAGTATCTGGGCAAACTACCCCCGTGACTGCTGATTTTAAGGAACCCAGGGCATGGATGAACTTTTAGTTGTAGAAAACCCACCCCCCCTCGCCATCTGGGCAAATGATAGCAACCTCAGAAAGCAGTGAAAACCTTACAGCCGTAGACAAGCTGATCCTGGGACATATGAGCCGTCCTCCGAGCTTTCCAATTGCACCTTACATCCTGCCACAAACTACATGTCAAGAGAAGCACATAATATCCACAGGAAACCATCTGAGTAGCTCACAAGGAAGCCATACGCATGTTGCCCCCCCACCTGGGAACCCCCACCTGGGAACCCCCACCTGGGAACCCCCACCTGGGAACTGTGGGAACGCATCTTTTCGGGGAAAGGCTTTGGGTCTCCCGGCATCCGCCAGCATGTCCTCATAGAGCTGCTGGGAGTCCTTCTCGTTGTACTTGGCCTCGGTTCAGATCGGCGCGTGGGGGGCTACCCTTTTTGGGATAGCTTTGGAGGGAAACCAAAAGGGAAACCGCAATCTGACAAAAATACACACCCAGATGGAAGGCAGGCTTCTAATGTTGACGGATCTGAGTAGAACTCGTCCTTTTTTGGCAGGGGGTTCGGGGCCCCTCCGAAAGTGAACAAACTGGAAGGGGACACCCTGTTCTATTCTTGCCGAAAACAGCATGGTTTCACATCGAGAGAGCCAGAGCATTGATCAACCCTGAGGCCCCGCTAGATAGCTGGAGCCTCAGCCCTCTGCCGCTTTGCTCAGCTGAAAGGGAAGGCGTTCGCGTAGCCCTCTGGTTTAGCCAGATGCCATGATACCTTCGGAAGTGTCTGCTCAAGCCAGGCCTTCGGAGAGGCTAGTGTTGAAAACCCTGGTGTTGAAAACCCTGTAATTTTCGGAGCTTCGAACGCCTAAAACGCGCGTTTTGTCTCGGGGGGGAGAACCCTTTTTGATGGTTGATTTGTTTCTGAAAATCGAGAAAAACCTGTTTTTTGCGCTGCATCCCCAGCATTCCCAGCATTTCCAGCATTCCCAGCATTCCCAGCATTCCTCGCACCCCCACCATCCCAGTACTTAGCCAAGTTTTGTTAGTCGGATTGCGCCTCTAAAAAGAATACATTTTCATGCCGCACGCCGAGCCAGCGCTCAAGGGCCCCCCGCCTCCGCCACGGTCTTCTCCGTCTGCGTGACGAGGCCTGGGGTGCCAGGCGTTTGCCAAAGGAACATATGATGTGTTCGACCACCCCCCAACCGCTACTCTCGCGGGGAAAGTTGAAGTGTACAACCCTTGCATCAAGGTTGTGTGTTCCCTTGGAGGTAGTGATTTGGGGGGGATATGGAAAACACGTTAAAGCAAAAGAGCCGATGCCGATGTGCCTCACGCCTCCATGTTCATCTGCAGGAGAGCGGAGAGCAAATTGTTAGTACAACCCGCTATCAAACCAAGGATCACCTTTTTCAAATGGTGGATAAACACAAGGAACCTCAGCTGTTTGTGGGATAGGGGAGGATATCTGTGATATTTGGCGGGACTCGGCTTGTTGCACTTTGACCCCCCTCCAAATCAAGGCTGTACAAAGTGGACAACACCCTTCTTGGATGCAGCTCGGAACGATGGTAAGCCCATTTCAAGAGTGGACCTTCTGTTTCCGCAAAACAAACCAACGTATGCGGTTTGCTCAGTTGGGTTCCTGAAGGCTTTTGTGGGAAAACTGGGTTCTTCTCTCCTTCTCGTCCTGCAACCAACAGAAGACTTCTTATAGCATTTACTGAATGCTCTTAATCCAGCCGCACTGGTATGTGTAATTACCCCTTTTGGAGTGGTGAACCAAACGGAAACCGAAGGCCGTTTTTTGGCTCCGATTCCAATGTTGTGATACCAGCCCAATTGGTTGATGACCATCCCTATGAATCCCAAAGAGGGCTGACCACGCCGCGTCTTCCCGGTCCGCAGGCCTTCCAACATGGTCAGCACGCCGTTGCCCTGCACAGACCTCTCACGGAGGGAATCGAAACCGCAGGCATGGACCCGACAAGGAACCAGTTGCGGTGATGCATCTACTTCTTTGTGTGGCTTTGGCATGAAGATAGCCGTCCAAGGAAGCAATCGGATGATGGAAATCATTGGTAAATCCCACGTGTGGGGGTGAATGGTATGCGATATGCCCATCCTGAGCGCTTCCCCATGAGCACCGAAGACTCCGAGCGGCAAAGCAGCCATCTGGTCACTCACGGCTGCTCAGAACAAATAACAAGGACTAGGCATGACGTATGCACTATATACGCGTTTGCTGCGTTAAGGTAGTGTTTGTATACACATAAGCATGTGGAATGAAAACGAATATAACTGTACGCCCAAGGATTTTGCACGCGCGCGTAAAACAGAGGAGAGAACACAGATGCATCAGAATCATTGCCTGTGCGCTTCCAAACTCATAAAAAATAACGCCCAGCCATGGGCGTAAGGATACCACCAATCCAAAGCAACGAAGTCCCCTCCTTCCAATCGTGAAAGCAGACACAGGGCCTTTGTGAAGATGGTTGGTCCTTCGAACAGCCGTCTGGCTGCGAGGAAAACAGGGAGGAGGAAGACTCCCACGGAGGCCGGCAGGACTCTCTGAAGGCTCATAGGGCCATGGGTCAAGCGGAGTGGCACAATCGAAGCCACGTCAAGACCACTTCCACCCAGACCTCGAATGGACATGGAAAAAAGAGCACCCTTGTTCTTGTTTCCCTCCTCAGAAGCGCCATGACCGTTGGCGCAAGGCATAAGGGACCAAGCAACTGCACACTTGATTCTCTTTCGCGCATGCTCCATTTTCTTGGATTTGAAGTACCCCCCCCTACCCCGCCCCAAATTCCAAGTGGTTGGTTCCCTTTTTGTTAGATCGTCCCCCAACTCGAAGCTCGGCCCGGGGTTCCGGGCTTGGCGGACCCGAACTCGGGCTGCTGCTGGTGGACCTGGCCAAAGGAAGTGGCTTGCAGCCAAGTACCGGGATCCGGCAGGGTCGGGCGATCCATTCACTTGTTTCAACATGGGTGTTTCGGCTTTTTCGGTGGAGTTTGTACGTGGATTTGAAAGTGAAGCCAAAACGAATCCACAATTCTTGGCGGTCCTCTTAAAAATCAAACGCACCCAGGACCCACATGTTCATGGAGGTACTGTTCAGCGATATTACCTCGAGAAATCATGCGGGAATGATAATTGTACTTCGCTCCCTTTTACCTTGCTAACATGTTGCAGCCCCTGTTTAAAAGTCACCAAAATGATGTTGCTTTAACAGGGAGTGTCTGGCTACGAGTACCATTTTGCCCAAACCCTTGGGCAGCTCCCACACTAAAAGCAGACCCCCGTTATAATCAGCCAGGTGTTGACGAATCCTGGGTCAACATTACAACAGCAACTGTCATCAAGAGGGCCTGAACACCACCTTCAAACATGAGGGTTGACTAGTTTACCGACTGGTTGCTCTTCCAAGAACCAACCTAAGCCCCATGTTGTCCTCCACTATGTGTGCACGTTCAGGTAGATGTGCCAATCAGAAACTCTTATGGTGGGCCACCTTTTCGGTTGGTATTTAGAGGGAAACCAAACACAACCCAAGCATTTTTGAGGGGACCCCTTGAGACAAAGTCAGTCCCCTCATGCTAATTATGTTCGCCTGGGAAGCCCAGTCCAGGTTGGAATGTGGTTGGAATCCACAGGATCCGCATCAAACCTCAGGGTTCCAACCTGGACCTACTGTATACGGGTAACCCTCTTCCAAAAAAAAAAGGCGGGTGCCAACATTGGGCTCCAGCTTGTGCGCAAGAATCGGTAGCACTTTTCAAGGAACCTAGGGCTTCGTTGTAGTCCCCTTAGAAGAGCCCGAGAGCCATTGGGAGTCGAGGCCTTGTTCACTACCCGGTTCCACAAGTTCTGAGTGAAGGCTCGAAACCCTTCGATGTTGCTTCCCGTCACGTCACACAGGCTTGATAAGGACTCCTTTGGTGGAGTGGACAGAATTCGATGGGGGTTCTTGAGCAGCAACCACCTAGGTGGTTCCAACTCTTCTCCATCGCCAATTGAAGGAGCCCAAGTGCCACAGCTGATCCGAAGGGCATTCCGTTTGGCATGGAGCCACGCGCATGAAGCTCACTCCAAGCAAAAGTGTCCTTTTTGAGGCCCTTCTTAGGTTGGAATAGAAAAGCGGGGACAAGAAGAAACCCGCCATATTGGGGGGGCGGTCCTCCATCTTGACACATACCCATGTAGATTCCCCAGATTTGGTTTGGTCATCCCTTTTGCCCACCCGGAAATCGTGGCTTTGACCTTGGTGCTTGGTTGGTTTAGAGACCCGGCCTGAAGGCTGTCCCCCATCAATACTGTGGATGGTTGCGAAATCCATTTCCGCACCAAAGAAACCCTGGAATGATATAATTCCCTGTAAATGCCAACAAACAATGGTTTCTCATCCACATCAATCCTTGGCCAGACGGATCCGACCCAGTGAAGTCTGCAACGGCCTGGAGGAGACCCAGGTCATACGGCCCGGTCGTCGTCTGGGTGGTGGTCATGTCCTCGGAGCCCAAGCGCTCCAAAGTGAGTGCTCCAGAATAGGCCCCAACCAAAAAGGGGGCGCGGTGGTGTCAGGGTCCCCCCCCCCCGAAAAGAGGTCTGATGACCGGAAAACCAGCAGGATTTTGGGGTCACAGATCCATTTGGATATGAGTTTAGATAAGGAACCACGGTACTAAAGCGGTTGGTGGACATGAATCCCCTCGGAATTTTTATGTCCACCAAAGGGTCCCCGTTTAAATTTGCCCAAATGGTTTGTGTCCTTTCGATCTTCCTTGAAATACCAACCATCTTGGGTAAAAAGAAGCTGTCTGCTGCTTTCAGTTCCCTTTTTAACACCAAATGTTTGTGTTTATTAGAAAAGAATCGAACCTCTACGTGAGTTTCCACACCATGTCGTTCGAATGCAAAAAGTAGGGTAAATGGTTCGAGCCAAACTGAAACTAGCGGAACCCATCCATGTTCAACCATATTACGCCAACCAGCATCCTGACTGGCATCTCTATGTAAACTGAGAATGCATGAGCAAGAACACCACAACCGAAGTGCAGAGCTCGCAAGCCTTGCTGTTCAATGGCAGGCGCCAAAGGAAAGGGTACACCAGTTCAACCACAACCCAAAAAGGACACCCATGGTCCACAGCTGTTTCTGCCTTTGCCATCCATCGGGAAACCCCAAGAATTGTGCTTTTACTTCTGGCTCTTCCCTTCAAACTATCCAAAAGCACCAACCCCACGGGTTCTCGAACGACGCCAGTTGAGCAGCACCCATTTCACCATCAACTTGTTGCTCTACCAAGATGGTTATAAAAATGTTTACAGGCAACCCTCATAAAAAGCAGGCAGAACCTACCAAAAAACCGGAATCTGCGGGTTCTCAGCACTGCCCAGTTGTCGTTTTCAATGCAAGAAGGCTTGCCTGTAGATGTGGAGCCCGTTTCAAGATCAATACATGGCGGTGGCTCAAAAACATGTACCAAAATGACACCTTGCGAAATGGAGACTCACTGCAAAACCTGCTTCACCCTAGGTCTTTAATTTTGAGCCACATATCTTTGGTCTGGCCGCGGGAGCTCACCCAACCGCCCCCCGAGAGAACTTTCCAAGTGGCTGGGTGGTAGAACTGGTTCAGGCGGTTCTTGGCCACCAGCAGCACATCCTCGAGGCGGACACGACACATTCCCCCGTCGCTTCCTCCCACGGAGAAAAAACACCGGAAAAAGAGAGAGATGGCCCCAAACGAAGAAGATGCGGTTGATGAAATTCGGAGAAATCAGAGAAAAAAAAAGGATGGAACTCATTCTGCATTAGATAAATGGACCTGGGGACTCCGACCCACCCCCCTAGCTCCCTCCCTGCCAAGTGCATCTCGCAGCCCTTGGGTCTCTCATGTTTTGGGTATGTGTCAAAACGCACGGACCCGAACAATGGTGGATGTTCTTTTGTTGTTTGCTACTTGGTGCGTGTTGTTTGTTTTCTCTACCCAACGTGAAATCTGACTTTGGGTACTTTCACATGACAAGTGGTCGTGAGACCCTTCATGGTTTCATGCGGAGAGGGTATCTCATGCAATCAAACAAGTCAAGGGGAGAACTCGCCAATGTGTGCTTTAAAAAAGAACTGGCATTTCTCGTACTTGGAATAGATTCTCTTTTGTTTCAAAGGCGTGTTGCTTTCAACCCCGAATTTTGGGACGGGGTTCAAGGACAATCAGAACAGAAACCACTCAGTTTGCCGGGGTCCCCGCCACGTTTCACTTCTCAAGAGTTGTGACTGGATCCCTCAAAGTGAGGATTTTTGGGGAAGGGTTCCCGCACTACCACATTTCCGAGGGTCATTTGGATGTCGATTTCATGGACCCAGCTGGGTTTGAAACAAAAATGAGGAACGCCTTTTCGTGGTGGTTTAACGGGAAAGTAAAACAAAGCCGAAATTCCCAAAGCCTTTTCCGTCCGAGTCGCCTCTCCGGCCTCCCCGCCAGCCAACAAGAGAGACTAGCTAAAAACAAACAAGCATCCCAAAAAACCAAAACACGCAGAGTCACAAACAGACTGAGGGGTCCGCCAATCCAGCAACAACCCCCGAGTGAAACAAAAGAAAGAAAGCAAAAGAGAAGGAAAGAAAGCCAGAAAGAAAGGGAGAAACGAACACAAAAAGCAAAAAGACCAACCCTCATAAGACATAAAACGACACATAAGAAAAGAACAACCCCTCATAAGACCACATAAATCAACACACAAAACATAAAGCAAGAAGAAAAAGGTAACGTCCCCACCTTGGTGGCGGACTGCTCCTGCACCAGCTTCTGGAATTCCTGCAGCCGCCCCAACGCCCACCAGGGGCAAATTTGCCCGAGGGCGCCTAAAAGACGCCTCGGTACACTCCGGGTGTCCAAAGTGGTCGGTGTAAATGGGGCTTCAAACTTCAGAGTTCGTACCCTCCACTCCAAGTCGGAAGGCTTTTCAGACCTCAAAAGGCCCCTTTTTGGAGGGTCCAGGACTTTCTTCGGGCAGTTCCATTTGAATTTGCAGGAGATTTCCCCAGCGACCCCTCTGCAACCGTTTATGGGGTGGAGGTAGGCCGAAAAAAAGAAGAAGAAAAACAAGCGCTCTGCTCTGCTTCACAAAATACACGGATCGAATCCCAAAAACTTCCTGGGTTTGCCTTTCGCTTCCCTTTGGACATCCGGAAAAAGAAAAAGATCCACGATATAAGACCCTCATATGGGTGTGGGTCAAAAATGGGTACCCAAAATGGAACCCTGGTAAATGGAGCCAAAGATCAAAACCTGCGGTCCCCTGGTGGTTTCATTTTGACCCATACCCATATCGCCGAGAAAACCAAAACCAGTCCTCGTGCTCCTTCTTGCGCATTTCCGTGGACTCGGCCACGGACTTGTCCAGCCTCAGCCGTTTCAGAGGACATCATGCCGCGGGTCCGCTTTTTTTCAGGGGTCCGTTGATGTTTCTTTTTGTGCTTGGTTTGCTATGTGTGGGCTTTGTTTTGTTTGTCTTCATTGTTTGATGTGTTTGTCCTCAGTTTTGGAGGAACCCCTCCTCCGATTTTCTCAACGATCCCGCCTTAAGGGTTTCCTCGTCGGAACCAAAGATTACACGCCAGGTGGGAAACCTAAACGACCTAGCGATGTTCAATTCCACGGGCTTTGGAACACAGCAAACCCTAGCCACTTGAGGGCAGAGGTTAGAGGTTGCTTGGAAGAGTCCGGGACGAATAAAATGGTTAGCTTTGCCCTGGTTTACAAGCCACTGAGACTTAGAACCAGGTGGGTTAAGTCCCGAACCATCTAAGCAGGGAGTTATTGAGCACCTGGAGCCCTCTCACCACTCCACCCCCCACATTGTCACCGCATGACTCCAGGTCGTTTCAACCTCAAAACAACGCCAGGTTGCCAAAAATGAGCAATCTCAGCACCGACCCAGACCCAACCACGGCATCAAGATCCAACCAACCAAACCCATCGAAAACCCTCAAAACCTGAGAGAAAAAAGGTTTCGAAGAAAAAAAAGAAGGACAGCCTTGTAAAATGAACCCCAAACCAATTTGATTCTGCTTGAGCCAACCAACTCATCCCATCACACACCGAAGACTCCGACCGACGCCTTCCGAGGTCCCATCCCAAGGCCCGGGCTGCGCCACACCGGCCTGCAGCTCCGCGATCTCCGCGGCCGCGGCCTCCATGGCCTGCCGAAAAAAATGGGCCGAAAGCGTTTAAGAAAATGACGGGAACCGCAGAAAGCCACATGGGAAACCACATACAATTTTGGGAATGAAGGGAAACCACATGGGTTAGAAGAATCAGCTTCCCTCCAAGTGGTTGGGAGCCGAATCGGTGGTTTGGGAAAGGGGTTTCCCATCTAGCCCGAGAACCGGCATTGTCCGCAAACCACCAATCCAAACTTCCAACCGAGAGTGAAAAAAAATGGGTGTGGCTGAAAAAAAAGGCTGGGGCAAACCGCAGGTTTTAGTCTTTGTTTCCAGAATGTGTCACGTTGGGTACATGTTTTGAGCCACAAACATTTGGGTCTGCCTTCCCTTGAGGGTGCATGTTTGGAAGGGAAACCAAGAGGAAAACCGAAAACCATGTTCGGGGTCCCAAAAAAGGACACACCTATGCGGCTATGAATTTTAGTTAGGGGTCTGAATTGGCGGACTGCAAATTCGGTGGGGATTAATATCCGCCAACTTTGAAGGAGGTTCCGTATCTAATTTCATAGCCGCTTTGTTTAGGGAAGCAAGCAATCCCATTGATGGAAGCAACCCCTTGTGTTTTGGGGCCCTTCTTGGGGTGGCTTTAAAGGGAACCTTGAGACAAACCCATATCGGCATGAATCTTAAGTGGCAAAGCCCAGAGCAATGACTAGTGGTTAACTGGCTAGGAGAACCGCGCGCATTTGAGATCCTGTGGTAAATAGATGCGCGCTCCGTGCAACCAATAAACCAGGTTGACTAGGCCTAGTAGCCCTTCGGAACATGGGTCATAAACTCCTTTGTTTGTAACTCAAACAAGAATTATTTTAGGGACAAAACATGAAAAAATAACATGAAATGATAATTTTAACAGAAAGACCCTTTGGACCCGCCAACCCAACCCCTGGTCCGAGGGAAAATTATTGCTCACCAAAGCCGCCTATTTTCCACAACCCCCGCAAAAAACTAACATGGCTGTGGGTTAAAAATGGGTATCCATTTTGGAACCCTAGTAAATGGAACCAAGAACTAAGACCTGCGGTCCCCTGGTGGTTTTATTTGGACACATACCCACATCCAGACACAAATTCAAAAATCCGATCATCCGCCTCCTCGTGCATGGCCACCGCCTGCTCCAAGTTCTGGATCTTGTGGCGCAGCGCCTCCCGGCGCTGCGAATGTTGAAAAACCACCGGGTCCCTCAGCCAGCCCATGCATTCGTCTGGGGCGGGCGTGCGTTCCAACCCGTCAAAAAATATATATATATATATATATGAACTGTGCGTTGCGCTGGCCGCTTAGTGCTGCCCTCACTGACTCATGCCTTTCGTCCTCCAACAGAGGGGTCTCTCCCAAATCAAAACGGCTGCGAAACCAAGTTTGCTCTGGCCGATTTTGCCCGCGCTCCGAGACCCGAGCGTCAGGGTCAAAAAGTGACTCCCGGTAACGGGAAAAGGAAAGTGGTTGCCTATGCTCTACCCCTGAGGTGTGTGGTCATCTAAAGTCCTGGAGCAACCACTTCAGAAACATGGGTTTGTCCCCGCAAACAAATCAGGGCAACATGCCTTTGGATCCGTCTCGAATGCCCAGTGTTCATGGCAAAACACAGAAATCGGGTCCTGCCAGACATAACTCTGGACATCCAAAAAGCCAAACTTCTGAACTGTTTGATCCCCCGTCTGATTCCTTCGGCGAAACGCGCCACTAGTTACCTGTAGGTGTTACTTGGGTAACCCTTAGTTGGTGAAATAAAATTGGTGGTTCTTGTGGATGATAAATGAAATTGAAACCACCCCAATTCACCTCCAAACCACCGATTCGGCTCCAAACCACCCTTTGTGAGGGAAGCTGGTTTACAACATGGCTTCCCTTGTCCTAGAAGTTTGGCCAAAACCAATGAAAGCCAATAACACATGTTAAACCCTGAAAGGCCTTCCCTTGTGTCTGGCCTCATGATTTTAGTGTCAAAGTCTCACCCCCCTTGACAGGTCAAAGGGAAACACCGCAAATTGCTGACCCTTTCATACAAACCGTCAAAATAATGAGTGGGAGGATGCGGTCATCTTGAAGCTTAGACTCGGAGCACCGGGAGCGTCCGACATGTTTCCTCAGGTGGTCGCACCTCCAATGCTACGGAGACAAACCCGAACTGGCGAACATTCGCACGGGGTATTCATGTCCAACAGCCATTGCCAAGGCTGCTCCAACCTCATCACCGCATATGGCCCATTGGCCTTCTGCGCACATCGATCTGCGCCATCATTCGCTCAAGATAAATTTCCACCAAACCATCTTTGATGAGGTCTCCGACCAAAAAACCAATCCGCTGATTCCAGCCCGCTCACCCTGCGCATCCAGAGCAAACAGATTCGAACCCGCTTGCCTTGGCCTTGCGCTTGGTCTCAAAGGACTGCTTCTTGCAGTAGGCCTTCTTCTCGTCATCATCCTTCTGCTCCTGGACAAAGGCATGTGGTTCAGGCGGTTCCCTTCGGCTCAACGTCGCCCCTGCCTGATGAATCAAGCGCGGAAGGTTTAGGTTCCTCCAAAAGGCCTTTACAAGGAGCGCGAAGTCAAGGGTTGTGTTTTGGGGAAACCAGAGGCTTATGGGGGGGGGGCTATGATCCTCAACATGCCATGACCAGGCGGAGCGATTCAACTTGTCTAAGCCCTGGTTTAAACCACTACTGCTCAAGTAACCTCCCTTCGGTGTTCTTTCAAGATGGGGGATGGTTTGTTTGAGTGTTTTTTATATATCCTTTTGCCAACCTCCTGTTGGTTCGCCATTTGGGAGCAAGGGTCTGGTTGTTGCAAGTCTTGTCACCCTTCCTGCTCCATCAGCGCGGTCATGTTGTCGATCATTCCCATGACCTCTGATGGCAGAAAGGCGGCCATGAGTGGGGGGGTTTCATCCTTGGGGCTGACACAAATACTTGGGGCTGACACACGGGCGACACATGGGCGTGTCTCAAAATGGGGTGCCCTCCTTCACTTTAGCAAACACCTCTGCCGGGGAAAAATCATCCGCGGTGTTTGCTTCGGCATTCTGCCAAACACTCTCCAGAAGCTTCCTTCAGCTTCCCCCTCGCCATTCGGATTTGGTAGTTTGGCAGTTGCGGGGTAGCTTCCCACTCAGCCTCAGCAAGAACTAGGGGTTGAAATCCAAATCCAAACCACAAATCCAAACCTCCGAATAAGAGCAACCTGATTCCACAGCTCTCCGAATCCCTACCTGCCAAAAGCCATGGGGCAGCGTACGGCAGAAATTGATCCGGTGGTCGAAAGAGAAGGTGTTGGGCTAAGGAGAAATTCTTCCAAGTAGGAAAATACCGTATGAGGTTATCTTTTTTTCGGGGGGGGCTTGGTTTCCCTCTGAAACCGGCAAACCAAATGGGTACCGAGCCTCAAAAAAAGTTGTAGCCACCCACATGCTATCAACCAAAAATTGACAAATGACAGGTGCAACAGGCCAGGATTTGATGGCTGTGCTACCTTGAGACGGATATGACCCGTTTTTCTCAGCAGACCCTCTGGTGTGCCCCGGAACCCTCGCAGAAAGCGGCTCCGAACCAGTCCCAGCGCTTCTTCGGGCCGAGCTGTTAAGGGAAAACACGCACATCGTCTCCCATTTGTGAGACCTCTGGTTCCCCCTTTTCGGGCTTCCCAAAAATACATGTTGATACATTCCGGCCAAATGAAAACCAGCTTTACCTGCTGTTTCAGAGGATTGATTTCTGCCTGCACCAGGTGTTTTTGTTTTGGGATTCAAGGCAACTTCTCTTTGAGCGCCCCGGGCAGAGGAGAAATCCACGCCCTTGCTGTTCAGCGCCAGCATCTCGGCGCATCGTGCCAGCGGGGTGGGGGGGGAAGGGGGTCTCGAAAGGGGGACTGCCGCACAACCCCCCCCTCACAAAAAAAAGAAAGAAGCACAAAAGGGAAACCTGGAAAAGTTGTGGGCACTGCAAAAGGTAGACCCAGTCTTAAAGACATTCTCCCATCTGGTTCCTGCATGCCGCCACTCCAGAACCCCCTCCCTTAGCAATCTAACGTGTGAATATCAAGACTAACCCTGAAAAAATACTGCAAACAGACTCATCGGGATGAAGATAGCAAACAGACTGGTGTGCAAGCTACAGTGCCTCTCAGTCTGCCCTACAGGAGATAACCAGACATTGTCCTTTTAGCTTGAAAGGATGACTCCCTTGGCTTCTTGCTGTAGAGGTAAAGGGGTGTCTTAAAATATTTAAACATCCAGAAAAGGCTCCAGTATTTTGAGACAGACCCAAATGAGTTTTTGAGGGCACCCTTTTTGCGATGGCTTTTCAGGGAGAACCAAAAGGAAAACCACCGTTTTGAGGGGTCCCCTCAACAAAAGACACGCCAAAATCCTCATATGTTCACCAAACCTGAAAATGGATCATTGGCTACGTCCTAGAAATCTCCTCGCTTGCATCCTTGCGTCGCCAACATCGATGCCTCAAAACGGGGCGACCAACAGTGATGTCTCAAGACCGCATCGATTCCTGTTGGCCTCCTTTGAATCCCACCACTCTGAAGAACACCACTGACTAGCACATGGAGCATTTGATAGTGGGGATCAACGTCTCTTTGGACACAAATCACCAGCAACCTTTCTCCCAATCGGCTTGATTCGGTAGTTTGCACGTCAGCTTCCTCATCCCGCGAACCAACCACTCTACCTGAGTTCAACATATGTTGACAAAAGTTGATTCAGAATCTGAACCCGACCAAATTGACCCATCCCCCAAGCCAACCCAACCGTGGTTATCTGAACCACAGCCCACAACCCACCCGGCCCCAAACCAATTCTGGGAAAGGTGTCCTTTTTGAGGGTACCAGAAGGAAGACCCGAAGACCAGGCGGTGCCAGGAAACCAGGGAAACCAAACAAACCAAACAGAAGACCGAAATCCAGGCTTGGGGGTACCCCTAAAGGGCCATGGGTCAAAATCCCGTACCCCCAGTAAACATCCCAATCCCCACTAAAATAGGTTCTAAAATGGGTGGTGCACTGGAAACCCTCAAAATGGGATCCCAAAACGGTCTTGACAACCGCCAAAAAAGGCGAGCCACCCAGCAAGGAGGGGTTTCACCCAACCGCTTCCAAGGCGCCACCAGGTCCACCTTCGTGCGGTTGGCCACTGCCTCTCCGGGGGCGGTTTTTTTCGGGTCAGATCGGCGCCGAAAACTCTTCCATGTTCGGTTTGGTGGTGTTGGTGGCTTTGGTGGTTTTGGTGGTTTTTCGTTTTGGTTGTTGTTTCGGTGGTTTTGGGTGGTGGTGGTTTTGGTGAGAAAGAACCAGTGGAAAAAGTGCCTGGCTGGTGATTGGAAGTCTCCGTTCTGGGTTTGCTCGTAAGTGGGTACATGATCATCACTGCTCGTTTGCTCGTCCCAGAAACCCAGCCAAACATACCGTGCGTTGTTTGTTTGGTTCTGGAGCTTTGAGGAAACACGTTGGATGCCCCAGCTGTAACTGTTCGCCAATTACTTCATATGTTGCGCTGTTTGAACGCTCTTTTAGGGGATGAAAATAGAAAAATAGAGGATCAAGTGACAAGCAAGGTGTACAAAGCTATAACCATGCTTTCGATGTTTGTTCTGGATGGGGTTGGTGAAAGAAGAACATCTCCGCCGGCCACAGCAGCAAAAGTGTGGAGAGAAAAGAAATAAACGGAGATCCTCCCATCAAGACAATCCAGTCGTATGCGAAGGCAAAACTCAGACTGAGACCACCTTCCAAGGGCTGTCAAATGATGTTGCGGGGAAATGGCCCCTTTTTTCCAGGGCCTTTCTGGGGTTGTCTTGCTGAAATAGTCTGAAGATCAGATGGAGAGCCCATCCAACGTTTTTGCAGGAGGGGGGGGGAAGCCTCGGTTTAAGTCACCTTGATAGGTGTAGGCTGGGTGCCATGCAAAGAGGTTCCATGTCTGAAAAAGTTGATGCATTGTTTTGGGGGAATGCAGCTAAAATGGGGAAAAATTGTATTACTGTGTTACTGTTTGTGGCGCACTAAAAAGCTGTGGTTCCCATACCGTACAGCAGCAGCGCACACTATCACTTGTCCATTTGACGATAAGCTTGTTGTAGGGGTTGCCTCTTCGGGCAAAGTAAGCGAGCCTCCAGGAAACTCAATGAGGAACCCCGCAAAGTTTCCTGCAAGGTCTCCTTCCATGCTTGGAAAAGGCACCAGCAAGTCCAGTGGGGAAGAGCAGAGGCGTTTTGGGCGAGATCTTGAATGACCCCCATTCGTTTTGTGGGGCAGATGGATCACCGTGAAGGAAGCAAGCCACCCTACGCCACCCGCCAACCCCCCAACCGCCCAACCGCCCAACCCCAGAGCCGCAAGTGGGCCGCGCCTCTTTGCCCAGCCCGCGGGCGTAGCGCTTCAACATGCCCATGGCAGTGCGCCTGGCAACTCGCAATGGGCCAGGGCTCCCTGTACTTCCGCCTCGCACAGCTCAAGCATCACCCCCCAGTTGTGCAGGAAGCTCGCGTTAAATGAATTGGCCCAAGAGTGATGTGTGAAGCAACAAGAAAGGGTTGCAATATGGGGGAGCCATGGCGCCATGGATTTCAAGGGACCAAGTGAGGCCTGCCATGTTCCTGGGCCCTTCGGCGGAAACCTGCCAACGGGACACCCGCAGGAACCGCCACCCCAACGTTTGGAGTGTGTGCGACCTCCAAGTCCCGGCGGCTACGCCCCAAAAAAGCGAAGGACCTCACCAAGAAGCGATGCCCCCCGGCTTGCTCCGTTCTCAAGCAGGTTTGCCGTGAAAAGGGACCCTTCATGATGCCATTTGGTTGTGGCTCAACCCTGGTAAGAGAAAACATGGACCAAAACCTGCGTGACCCCCCCCTGTTTAATTTTGAGCCACACCCATTTTGTAACGCATTGGCAATGCATCTGGGCGGCGAGGATTGGGACGGAACAACAGGGCTCCTTGGCGGATACATTTGGGGCATGTCAAAAACTCAGCTTTGCCAGAAGATTTAGAGGATCCGAATCCTTACAAAGAGGGTGATATTGGGATGCACCTTTTAACAACCCTCCTGATTTTCATCCCAGCATCCCCCAAGCAACAGGGCAACTAGACCTAAGAAACACTCAGCTTCCTCCTAGTTGGTGGTCGTGGTTAGAGGCGACTTCCCGTTTGCCCTCTACAAGCACCAGGGCTTCAAATCCCCCAAACCACCACTCAAGGGCACCTGAAACACCGTATCCCAGCCCAGGCATAAAATCTGGACCAGAATAAAAACTAAAGATCCGGATCTAGTCTTCAAATATATATATATATACATATATATATATATATATTCCCTCCCACCTGATGACTCCCCCGAATTTCTTCCCCAACAAAAATCCCCGCGCCTGGAAGCCGTGAGCTGAAGGAAGCTGGGGCTGGGCCTCGGCTTCCGCGCTTCGCGAAAATGGGGTTTGGGAAGAGGCCAAGCCCGCTCATCTCAGCGAATTGCCCAAAAAGAAGGCCCAAACGGGGGAACGGCAGCAGACGTTGCTTGAAAAAGTCCAGCAAGCGAGCTTTTACGATAGGTTCGGTCAAAATAAGCAAGACTAGGGGACATGGGTTGTAATTTGGAAAGTCGTCCATGTCTCTCCGAAAGGGACCTGAGACTGCTAATCTCAAGGTAACTTCTAGCCATGGTCTCAGTCGAAGATGACAGGGTTGTTGTTTTTTTGCCCTGTGGGGTTGGTCATGGGAATGGTTTCCAAAGGGCCCTAGTGAACCCCACTAATTGCCTGTAGGGTTTGGCCACAATAACCCAGTCAAAAGACAAACCTATCCGGGATTATGAACGACTTACTAATCCAAGTATCCCTTCAGTTGATCCAACCCCCCCACTTCTGTGTTTCCAAAGGGAGTTTGGGAAAATAACAAACCATCTCCCCCCACCCCCCACCCCCCACTACCTGGCGCGCGTTGTACCCCTTGGCTTACCTTTCAAGGGGCCTAGCGCCATTATTTTACCACTAAAGTCTGCTCCAGAAACAGAACCAAAACCTCCATTTGCTTGAGTCCCTGATGTAGAGAAATATGTCCAGTGACAAAAGTCCTTTCAAACCATCAAGGGCAAACAACCACATATTACACCACGCCAGAGGGTGTTTGTTACAACTATTGCACCCATTCCCCTCGCATCGTCTGCCCGAGCTCCGGGCAGCGCCTTGTTGAAGAGGCCCAAATTCTCGTCCTTAGAGCGGACTTGTGGCTCTAAGGTGATAAACCTATAGGTTCACATGGCTGTGCATAGGATGGGCGATCGAAGGCAACGCTTGGCACGGATACCCTTGAGGTAAACCGAAGGGGACACTAGAAGGACACCCACACATTTATAGTGCGAGGGGTGTGCTGTTCTGAGAAATATTCACAGTTGCCTCAGATTAGGGTGATAAAAAGGGGGTCCGACTCTCGTCCAGAATCTGCGACTCAAAACCTCCAGATGGGCGAGCTCGCGATTCGAAGTTGTGCAAATACCCGTCCAAACGCCTCACAAAAACTTAGGCTTGATCTTGGACATTGCAAAAGGCATACTTGACGTCCCAATACCCTCTTTCCAACAACTTGGTCCTCCATTTGCTTAAGTCCCCCGAGGGGAAAAAAAAGGTGAGGAAGATGCATATATCCAGCTGTGATAGATTGATTCCCTGTAACACCAGCTGCTGCGCGTCCTTTTTTCCGCAAATGGAATGCGCGGGGGCCGGGCGCTGTTCAAGATCTTCACCGTCTCCTGGATGGCGGTCAGCTCCTGAATCAAACGTTGCCGCTCAGCCGAACGTCCGTAGGGTTAGAGGTATTGGATCAGTGCCCACAGTCTGCCAAAGGTCCGTGGTCAAGCCGCAAGCCCCATCTATGGATTCGTCCTTGGGCTGGACAGATGGGATTACCTGGTACAGCGGACTAGCCAAAAGTAATGGCAAGGAATGAAAAGGGCAGAGATCTGCACTCATTTGTGGCTGGGGCGTTCCCCAACCTTCATTCACCCGGGTTTTGATTGTGTTCAGAGTTGGAGGGATCCTCGTGTTGTCAATGTTTGTTGGAGGGCGGGTCCCTCTGTCCAACCGAAATGCACAGGAGGCTTGTGGAACACTACCATCATCGATATTCCTTTAAACTTCACCCTCTAAGTGAACTCGCCGATCAAATTGGCCTGTCCAAGTGGAGGCAGGTCTGGATACATTCCCGCAAATGACTGACATTCCTAGCCTTCCCTTTCCCTAAGTCCCCTAGAAAAATACAAACATGTCCAGCAGTGACAGATTCCCTGTAAAGCCAATTGGGGGGAAGAACAAATATTCTTAAGGAGGTAACTCGGGGCAATGAATTCGCAAGGTACCTTCACGGGGTACATCCGAACCCTTTGTCTTCCGGAGAAGGAGGCTTCTTGTAATGCAAGGAAGCAAAGGACGCAGCCCTTTTGGAGGATTCCCCAAGCTCCAGCTGATTCTTGGGGCAGGCAAACCAACTCGATGCCGCGTTATGTTGAGAACTCAAAGGCAAACCAACCAATGTCAGCCCACTGCCAAAAACCACCCGAAGCGATCGGCCCCGCACCGCCGCACCGCACGCCCCCGCGCCTCGCCGCGGCTCTTCTCGCGGGTGCCCCACTCCGTTGTCTTGGCCTCGCAGCTCTGGGAGAGCTTCTGCCTGCGAATCGCTCGGACACAATCAACCGTGACCAAAGGTTCACCTCAGCGCCCAAAACCCCCAGCTGCTCCTTTTAGTAGGTCTACTACCTGGTTCAATCGGGGTCAAAAAGTAAAGCCGCTATAGACCTGTATGACCATGTTAGAGCCAAGGGTCACTGGGTGAAACAGGCGCTGCTCACAGCCACAAAACACTCAAGGCCGACAGACAGGGGACTCCCACAACTTGTGAGGTCGTGGACTCGACAGAGTGAGGCACGTAGCATGAACCAAAACAAAATGGTGGTTTTCCTGTTGGTTTCCGTTTCAAAAAACAAAATCATGGGGTACCCCCAGGGAAAAAAGAAGAAAAGAAAACATAGATGTCCTTTGCGGTTGTTTTGGAAGAACATAGATGGCGCTTGCTGTTTGATGTGGTTGTTTCATAATCTACCAGGGCCATGTAGTTTCCCAAAAGGGGGCTATGGTTTAAACGACCTCCTTTTGGGATCTGTCAAGATAGGGTACCATCAAAATCAAAAGGATTATGGGATTCATGTAAATTGGGGGGACCAGGGCCGGGCTGTTTAGACATGCTTCGGAGCTCCAGATCGTCGCAAAAAAAAACGATTACCTACCAGTTCTGGTCTGACAATGACAACCCTAGATGAGGCCCAGCTCAATCCAAGGGTTGCAACCGACGAAGCCAAGGAAGATCGATAAACCCCTAGGTTAGCTGGGGGGTTGACCCATTTTACTGGGTGTTCGCACTGTTGGGGAAAAACCCTCTCCGCCAGGTTCCATTCTAATCCCGGGTCAACTCGACAAAACTTGGCCACAAGCCTGCCAGCAAAATGATAGGAACAGATTACTCCCCTACACATTCTCGAACCCGAAACAGGGGGGCATGTCCCAAAAAGAGATTCGGATCCTGCACATGAGGCTGCTTTCTGGTTTCCTTCCGTTCATTTGTGGGCCGGTATGCGTCATAGTTCGACCCTAAATATTTACTCATCTCCTTCTTGGAGACGGAAGCAGGGTGGGTGGGCAGGGTCAGGGACTTCCGTAGTTCTGTGACCACCCAAACAACTTGCTTGCTTGATCAATTCCAGCCAAATAAAACTACATGTAATCTTACTATTCGCACTTGTTCCATTTTCGACGGCTCCTCCTGCAAATCAAGCCGCACCTAAGGGGGGGTCGCCCTGGAGATTATTTTAAGACGCAGGATTAACAAACCCGTCCTTGTGGAGGTGAGGCCGAGTAATGAACCCCCAGTTTAGGGACCCGAGCAGCATCACAAATCCGGGCTGCTCTTTCCGGGGGGGTTCCCGTCGCCCTTTCACCCTCTCCGCTCATTTGGCGCCGGTCGGACTTCGACTTCGGACCGAGGGCGCGGCAGGACGTCGAAGTCCTTGGACAAGGCGTTCTGCGCGTCCTTGAGCTCCCCCTTCTTCTCCACCAAGGACACCTGGCATGCCAAACGCCGATTGGGAATGGTCAATCTGAGCGAAGCAATGTGTACTGTCCTTCGAATCATATTCTGCCAGTTGTTCATGACAGCATGAAAGAGGACGACAGTCTTTGTCCCTCAACTAAAACAAAAACATGATTCTGGTCCGTGTTTGTGAATCTGAAAATGAACAACTCTTCGATCCCACATCCACACTTATCGGCTGAGACCTGCCTGCAATGCCAAGTCAGAGGGAAAGCACACCGCCTTTGTTTTGTCTTAAGATGGTTCGAGGGAGAAAAGACACCAACCTTTGCCTAATCTCAAGGTGTTTCAAGGCAAACTACCGGAAAAGAAAACACCCTTTTCTAGTCTTCATGGTTCAAGACAAACTAAGTAACTAGAGAAGGCAACCGCTTGCCAGTCCCCTCTTTTGCCTTGAGTGCACCCAGGCGGTCGATCTTCTCGGCCACGGTCTCCTGAGCGGCATGTGATTTGCTTGCGCCCGAGGATGGGCGTGCCGTTCTTCGAGCGGGCGCCCTCTTTCTTGGGGGAGAGGTTCCGGGAAACCAAGAGTACAGGTTTGGTTGGGGGGTTGTTGAAGGGAAACCAAAAGGACGACGACTTTTGGGGGAGTCCGTTTACAGACAAACCGTGTCCCAGCACCCAGCTGATGCTTCCCCGTCGCTGCGAACCGTCCTCGATGGTCTCCTTTTCCTCCGTCTTGGCGTTCATGAGCTCCTTGAGCGAGAGCGAGAAACAGAGCAAACGCTCCGCTTCTAAGAATGCCCGCCCAACCATAGGTGACCTTCTGGAAAAAACTGATGGCCCTGGTAAACAGGGCACCAGTGCGATGTATGTCTAATCAAACTAACCTAATGTTACACCTCCTGTATTGATAGTCCCCTCTATTGTAGCATTTGTTTTTCGCAATTCACGATCTTGTGACTGTTTTGGGGCTCTCCTGATCTTGTCTGGGGCTAAGCCTCCGACAAAATATGGGCCAAACAAACTTGGCAAAGAAGTCGAGCAAAAAACCGAGCAAACAAATGCTGGCAAACAGGATTTTTTGAAGTGGTCCCCAAACCATCAAATTTAAAATAACTTCCTTACAAAAAGTGCGGGCAGACCGTCACACAAAGGGGGTTGCCCACAAGGGGCCCTGAGCCTCTTTTAATGTGACTGTTTTGGGGTTCTCTTTAGTGTCCAACGGGTTTTTGGGTTGCTGAAACTATTAGACTCAAGCCTTAGCCTTTTACTTTTAGGGCGGTTCACCTAACCAAGCTCTTCCGAGCTCAAAGGGTAAAGGTCTTGGATCTAGGAAGCTCATGTTGCCAGTGGCCCCCAAACCATCAAATTTAAGATAACTTCTTTACAAAAAAAGTACCTGCAAACAGTCACGCAAAGGGGGGTGCCCACCAGCGACTGTTGTGGGGTCCTCTTTAGTGTCTAACCTGTTTGGGGGTTGCTGAAAAAAAAGGTCCTTGGCAATACTAAAGTAGAATTGGCAATACTAAAGTAAGTGCTGGGAATCTGAGGGTCAGCCTTGGCAATACTAAAGTAGAAATGGCAATGCTAAAGTAAGTACTGTCCCTCCCAGACCCTAGGATCTCGCTGCTTAAAGAGGGTCCCGCTGATTGGTTCCACTCCTAGTGGGGGGGGCGGTGGTGTATAGAGGGTCCAACATTAAAAGGGACACAAAGGCGCTCAACTCTGGACACGACACATCACATCTGACCTGGGCGAATTATTGATCTGGGCGAACTATATTCACCAACCGAAAATTGGCAATGTAGCAAGAAAGAAACCTTTTGGGATGAAATCCGCCGCATCCCAAAACCAATTCTGTCAACCTCGAAAATACACAGACACTCCCTTTCTTAGGATTTGGACCCCCCTTTTGTACCCTCGAGGAGATCCATTTTGGCCTCCGATAAAAAACTGCTCCCTTTGGCTCGGTACCCCGGTGAAATTATTTTAAAGAGAAACAAGAACCAAAGCAGTTTTGTTGGGTGCCCCTATCTTTAGACACACCCGTGGCACACCCAATCATTCTGAAAAGTGTCGCTTGAAACAACTCAACACGTATGGGTGTGTCTTCTTTTTGGCGTGGAACCCCCCCCCCTTTTTGCGGCTTTAAAAGGAAAGCAAAGGCAAAACCACCATTGTTTTTTTTGAGGGGGGTCCCACTACAACAGACACACCCGTACAAGGTATGATCACCGGGTACCTTTGATTCCTAGTTGTTTGGGCTTCAACCTACCCCGAACGGGAGCTGCGCCTCAAAGATGTTCACCTCCTTTGTCTCCTCCTTGTCATCGACGGAGACCTCCTTCTGCAGCTCGTCCTTTTGCCTTGGAAAAATCTCAGCCCTGGATCCTTTGAGTCAGATCCAAAGACCCGGGAGAAATCCAACGTGTGCGGACGACTAAGCTCAGGCTATCCAAGGGTGTGGTTTTTGAGTTGAGACCAATGACATGCGCAAGGCAGGCTAATTCCTTGGGGTATGCTAGATTTGTAGTGATTCACTTGTGTACTAGTTTGTGTATGTTTGCTCATTCTCGTAGTCAGTTCACTTAGTTCGTGACTCGGCTAGCTAGTTGGCCAGCGGGCCAAACAGCTACTTAAAAAATTCATCCAGCTAATTAGTTCGCCAGCTGATGAGTGAGTGAGTGAGTGAGTGAGTGAGTGAGTGAGTGAGTGAGTGAGTGAGTGAGTGAGTGAGTGAGTGAGTGAGTGAGTGAGTGAGTGAGTGAGTGAGTGAGTGAGTGAGTGAGTGAGTGAGTGAGTGTGAGTGAGTGAGTGAGTGAGTGAGTGAGTGAGTGAGTGAGTGAGTGAGTGAGTGAGTGAGTGAGTGAGTGAGTGAGTGAGTGAGTGAGTGAGTGAGTGAGTGAGTGAGTGAGTGAGTGAGTGAGTGAGTGAGTGAGTGAGTGAGTGAGTGAAGTGAGTGAGTGAGTGAGTGAGTGAGTGAGTGAGTGAGTGAGTGAGTGAGTGAGTGAGTGAGTGAGTGAGTGAGTGAGTGAGTGAGTGAGTGAGTGAGTGAGTGAGTGAGTGAGTGAGTGAGTGAGTGAGTGAGTGAGTGAGTGAGTGAGTGAGTGAGTGAGTGAGTGAGTGAGTGAGTGAGTGAGTGAGTGAGTGAGTGAGTGAGTGAGTGAGTGAGTGAGTGAGTGAGTGAGTGAGTGAGTGAGTGAGTGAGTGAGTGAGTGAGTGAGTGAGTGAGTGAGTGAGTGAGTGAGTGAGTGAGTGAGTGAGTGAGTGAGTGAGTGAGTGAGTGAGTGAGTGAGTGAGTGAGTGAGTGAGTGAGTGAGTGAGTGAGTGAGTGAGTGAGTGAGTGAGTGTGAGTGAGTGAGTGTGAGTGAGTGAGTGAGTGAGAGTGAGTGAGTGGAGTGAGTGGAGTGAGTGGAGTGAGTGGAGTGAGTGGAGTGAGTGGAGTGAGTGGAGTGAGTGGAGTGAGTGGAGTGAGTGGAGTGAGTGGAGTGAGTGGAGTGAGTGGAGTGAGTGAGTGGAGTGAGTGGAGTGAGTGGAGTGAGTGGAGTGAGTGGAGTGAGTGGAGTGAGTGAGTGGAGTGAGTGGAGTGAGTGGAGTGAGTGGAGTGAGTGGAGTGAGTGGAGTGAGTGGAGTGAGTGGAGTGAGTGGAGTGAGTGGAGTGAGTGGAGTGAGTGGAGTGAGTGGAGTGAGTGGAGTGAGTGGAGTGAGTGGAGTGAGTGGAGTGAGTGGAGTGAGTGGAGTGAGTGGAGTGAGTGGAGTGAGTGGAGTTGTGTGGAGTGAGTGGAGTGAGTGGAGTGAGTGGAGTGAGTGGAGTGAGTGGAGTGAGTGGAGTGAGTGGAGTGAGTGGAGTGGAGTGAGTGGAGTGAGTGGAGTGAGTGGAGTGAGTGGAGTGAGTGGAGTGAGTGGAGTGAGTGGAGTGAGTGGAGTGAGTGGAGTGAGTGGAGTGAGTGAGTGGAGTGAGTGAGTGGAGTGAGTGAGTGGAGTGAGTGAGTGGAGTGAGTGGAGTGAGTGGAGTGAGTGGAGTGAGTGGAGTGAGTGGAGTGAGTGGAGTGGAGTGAGTGGAGTGAGCGGAGTGAGTGGAGTGAGTGGAGTGAGTTGAGTGAGTGGAGTGAGTGGAGTGAGTGAAATGAGTGGAGTGAGTGGAGTGAGTGGAGTGAGTGGAGTGAGTGGAGTGAGTGGAGTGAGTGGGGTGAGTGGAGTGAGTGGAGTGAGTGGAGTGAGTGGAGTGAGTGGAGTGAGTGGAGTGAGTGAGTGGGGTGAGTGGGGTGAGTGGAGTGAGTGGAGTGAGTGGAGTGAGTGGAGTGAGTGGAGTGAGTGAGTGGGTGAGTGACTGGGGTGAGTGGAGTGAGTGGAGTGAGTGGAGTAAGTGGAGTGAGTGGAGTGAGTGGAGTGAGTGAGTGGAGTGAGTGGAGTGAGTGGAGTGAGTGGAGTGAGTGGAGTGAGTGGAGTGAGTGGAGTGAGTGGGGTGAGTGGAGTGAGTGGAGTGAGTGGAGTGAGTGGAGTGAGTGGAGTGAGTGGAGTGAGTGGAGTGAGTGGAGTGAGTGGAGTGAGTGTGGAGTGAGTGGAGTGAGTGGAGTGAGTGGAGTGAGTGGAGTGAGTGGAGTGAGTGGAGTGAGTTGGTCCCTCTAGTTGGAGGGGACGCGCGATTCAGCCAGACCCCCGTGACGGATGTGAGTGGATGTGAGTGGAGTGAGTGGAGTGAGTGGAGTGAGTGGAGCTTGTGAGTGGAGTGAGTGAGGTGAGTGAGGTTGGTGAGTGAGTTGAGTGAGGTGAGGTGGAGTGAGTGGGAGAGTGAGTGAGAGGATGAGTGAGTGAGTGAGTGAGTGAGGTGATGTTGAGTGAGTGAGTGAGTGAGTGAGTGATAATTTTGATGTGGATGGGAGTGATGTGAGTTAAGGTTGAGTGTGTGAGTGATGTGCGTGAGTGATTGAGTGAGTGAGAGAGTGAGTGATGTGAGAGAGTGAGTGTGATGATGTGAGTGAGTGAGGGAGGTGCGTGAGTGAGTGAGTGGGTGGGTGAGTGGTGGGTGGTGGTGGGTGGAGTGGGTGGGTGGGTGGGTGGGTGGGTGGGTGGGTGGGTGGGTGGGTGGGTGGGTGGGTGGGTGGGTGGGTGGGTGGGTGGGTGGGTGGGTGGGTGGGTGGGTGAGTGAGTGAGTGCGTGCGTGAGTGAGTGAGTGAGTGAGTGCGTGCGTGCGTGAGTGAGTGAGTGAGTGAGTGAGTGCGTGCGTGCGTGGGTGGGTGGGTGGGTGGGTGGGTGGGTGGGAGTGCGTGAGTGCGTGAGTGCGTGAGTGCGTGAGTGCGTGAGTGCGTGAGTGCGTGAGTGCGTCAGTGCGTGAGTGCGTCAGTGCGTCAGTGCGTCAGTGCGTCAGTGCGTCAGTGCGTCAGTGCGTCAGTCCTGGTCCACGGATTCTTCGATGCTGGCAAGGCTCCTTTCGTCATCTTCTCCAAACCAGAAACCAGGACATGCCCCGTTTTCAGCTTTTTCATCGTGCCTAACGGGCCGGGCGACATTTCTGCCCTGATCCCCTCTAGCGAAGTTCGCCTACGGGCCGATCCTGATGTTCTGCCGCGACCTGCACAGCCAGGCGGGGGAGTTGCGATACCTCAGAAAGCGCTGTGGGGGCGCTATCGTGATCAGCAAAGATACAGTGTATATGCGGGCAGAGATTGACAATGGCCTTCGCAATGAACGCAATAGCCCGCGTGTAATGGACCTTGACAAGACCGATCTCATCTATACTGGCCCAAAAGACCAGACTGAGTGAGTGAGTGAGTGAGTGAGTGCGTGCGTGCGTGCAAGCGTGCGTGGGTGGGTGGGTGGGTGAAGGAGCGCGAGCGAGCGAGCGAGTGAGTGCGGCAGAGAAAGTGAGTGAGTGAATTTGTTGGTCAGTTATCGGTGTTCTGTGTTTGCTTTCGTGTCTTTCATTCTATGATACCATCTATCGTTGTACCTTTGTATATGCACATACACATGTGTATATGCGTCATGTGTATGTGTAGATATATATATATATATGTTGTGTATGTGTATATAGTATATGTCTGTGTCTTAGCGGGAGCAAATGTCAGCTTGTGTTCCCCACATCCTAATCACATCTCTCTTAAAAGAATTGTAAACAAGTCTGAGTCATATTTCCGTCCTAGGCCTCTTGCAATTGGAAGGTCAAGGAATTCAACTTCACAATCCCCATTGACAAAGCAAACAGTTGGAAAGGACCAAATCTTTCCGGATCACAAGTTGGAAGCACAGTGATCAAGTGTATCCGTTGAGGAACCCTGTTTCTCTGTATCAACCTCGCAGCCCAGATGCACTTCCAGCATGCCCTTCACCTCGCCAATGCCCTGCAAATGGCACCGAGGAGCAGCATCTCATTTCAGGGCTTCAGGACTATTGGCCCAACCGCTTCGTTTGATCTACCACCAGATGCTTCCTTAACTTAGCTGGCAACCAATATTCCATCCACTCGATGAAAAGGTCGAGCTCATAAATCGAGAGAACTTGGAATGCTCCCAAGACCAATCTGCGATGATGTCAACCTAAGTTTAATAAATGGGCGCTTATTAATAAAATTATCGGCCACCGGACCCGCTTTTTCACCCAATACTAAATTAGGAAGGGGCTAATTCAAAAGTTAATTCAAAACATACAACACCGCCCCCCAAGTCGACCCTCCAAAGCACTACATTAATAAACCACCCAAAAAACTCACATTCATGAAATTCCCCAAAACGCGGGGGCGAGCCCAACAAGTTTTCTTGTATCAGGGAAATGATTCAAAAGTAAGCAGGTTGCGTGCAGAAGTTGATGGCACAGAGACACATGCAACAAGTGTGGCGCACCAGGCAAGGTAATTATAGAGCTGGAACCTCCAAAAAACATACATGCCCGGAAAGTGCGGCTTTTAAATGAAGTCTCTTTACAAAAGTCATGTCCCTGGACTCCAACATGAGGTACCCCATACAAGCTCCCCAAACCCGCATTAGTAAAAGGGTTCACATGTCTAAACTCCCCAAAGCGACCCCTAGGAAGAACTAGGTATCAGTTAAGAGGGGGGACTACTACAAGTACTACTACAAGTACTAGTACTAGTACTAGAAGCAGTACTACTACTACAGCCACTCCCAGTACCAGAAGCAGTACTAAAAGGACTACTACAAGTACTACAAGTACTACAAGTACTAGAAGCAATACTACAAGCACAATTGGTTTCTTATAAAATAAAAAAATAAAAACTAAAAAAAAAAATAAAAAAATTAAAAAAAAAACTTTGCCCGAAAATAAGTTTTTAAAAAAAAAATGAGGGGGGGACCCCGTTTACTAATATGAAGTTGACATTATGACTTGGGCATGGCGCCTGATCTTTCTTTGGCCTGTGTTGCCCGAGCGGTTTTTCTTCAAGCGACTTCCTGAAAAGAAGAAGGGGGTGAACGGAAAAGGGAACCACACATGTAGATGTGTTTCGCAAATAAATGTTTCCCCTTTAAACATCGCCCGAAAGGAAATTCAATTCAAACTGGCCCAAAAGGCGATGCTTAAAGCTGAAAAAATACCCAAAGAGGTGCTTGACTTTTGGTCTGAGAAAAACAGGTACTGCCTTACAAGGCCAAATGACGTTTGTTGTTGATTTGTGTTTCATGTTTGGAGCATCAACATGCCTACTGCCCGTTGCGATGGGTGCCTGGCAGTCCAACAGCGAAAGTCCCGTGCCTGGCCCCTTGAGGTCTTGGCCCAAGCGGCCTGTGTTTTAGTTGCAGTCCCTATGAGGTTGCCTCTTTTCGGTAGGTGTTGCTCCCATTCTGCTCACCCCTAGCCCCAGTGACGCATGTGCGTTGTTTGGTCGAAAGCTCACATTCCCCGAGCTGATCAGGAAGTTCGCCTCACGGCCCTTTTCCAACCAGGGCCGTCTGCTTTGGGCATTTGGCTAAGAGCTTCATGTGGCCACATGCGAATCTCTTCTTTGCCCCTAATTTGAAAACACCGCATGACCCCGTGCCAACCGTTGCACAAACCGAAGCCAACCCAACTGCGCCTCCGACTTCCCTGCTGCCAGAGAAGCGAGCGCTGCTCGCTCGCTCTCACTGGCCTCGCGGCAAAAAGCCCGCAGGAGGGCTCGGCTTTTCTTGAGGGTACCTGCTTTTTTGTGTGGTGTTGAAAGGAAAACCAAAAGGAAAACCGTTTGGCCAGTTTGGGGTCCCCTTCACAAAGACACACCCATGTTTCGGGAGGAGTGGAGTAAATTTGGGCCTCAAACTGGAGACTTAGCCATGGGAGTTTTGGCCTGGAAACCTTCACGGATGCGGCTCAAAATGGCACAAGTGGAAAAGAAGCTGATACTAGCCTTACGGGGTCACTTGGCAGGTTGTCCCTTGTTTCCTCAAGCTTTAGGTTTCCATGACTGGAGTGGTTCGGACTTCATAAAACTGCTACCATCCCCGAGCACGCCACCCAAGAAACTAACCCTAGGAGATTACAAAAGCTTCATGTAGCAATCACAATCATTCCTGTTAAACCAGGTAGGCTGCTGATTTCGAAATAGGGGGACCCCAAGAAATGGGTGGGTTTGCTTTTGACTTCCCTTCAAACCAAAATGGGTACCGTCCAAACCCAAGCCCATTTTCCACCCCGCGCCCCGAAGCTGCTATTTTGGGGCGCAGAAACCGAAAGGTCAAATGGAGGTCAAATCATAGGTTTGGGGTTGGCAAAACGAAGCTGTTCCCAGTTTGCAGCGCTGAACCCAAGCGCCCCGCCGAACGCTTGGCGAAGACCCGCTGCAGCCGCTCCGCCTGACAAAATTCGGTCGAGCTGAGGTGAGTTCCTATGAAATCAAGAACACCCCCCGGGCAAAACTACTCGTTCCTCCCCAACGGGCGTGGGCAATTTTGGAACTTGCATTTGTGGATTGCTCACCTGGAAAGGCATACCTTGTCAGGCGAAGGAGAAAAAAAAGTGGGGCTCCAATATTTTGTAAGCTGCGCTCATGCAAAGTGAAACCAAACAGGCAGTTCAGAGCGGCTCTGAGCTATACATGTCTAGTGAGCCAAGCTCAAAGTTCCTCGGTGATTCCTGGAACCTGCACACTGGTTGAACTGCCGTCACAAAGTTTTGGTCATGTTAACTTCAGATTGATACGGACAGTACCTTTTAGCCCCACACCTCAAAATGTGTTTTTTTTTGATTTTGTTTGGACATGTGAACCTCCACTTGAACCCCTCGCGTCGTCAGCCTGCGCCGAGAGAGTGGAGGACTGGCCGGTCTGCACGAAGGCGCCAGCCTGTCGCTCGGTCGGCCGGTTGGCACCCCACGCACCCCCCAAGAAGAGGAAGGTTGAGACAAACCAAAAGGGATTCGGTTGGTCCTTGTTGGACGTCCGGAGGCCAAAAGGAAACAACCCGTGAAAGTCAGGGGGCTCCCTATAAGAAACACCAAGTCGAGCCGTCGTTCAAAATGAGCTTCTTCTCCCTCCAAGGTATGAACCCCTTTTTTCCGTGAAACTGCCTCAGTCGCAAGGCATCAGCGTTGAAAATTCAGGGCTCTGGCTGGTGCTTGGAAACCTCCGCTCACTTGCTCATGGTGAAATTGCCACCCTCATCTTCTCGAGCCAGATAATGTTGTCAAAAACCCAAAACAAAAGGAACCTCCTAAGGTGATCACTGAAATGGGTGTCTCAAAATAGGGACCCTCAAAATGTTTGTGTATGTGGTTTCTTTGGTTCCCCCTTAAAACCAGACAAAAAAAGCTCTCAAAAAAAGCACCAAAGGCCCAAACACATGTTTTCCATCTCAGGGCCTTGAAGGGACTCTGGCAGAGGGCACAAGTTTGTCCGAGCGGAGGAATTGTTCAATCCAGGCGAATCAAACACGCACAAAATCGCGCCGCAGTCTTCGCACTCGTTTCACAACTCTCCAATTCTCGAATGAAAGAAGAACACTCAGTAATTTGCCAAGTGCTCGCAGGGCTTCTTGGAATCAATGGATGCAACAAATGGCATTTTACTGCCGCAACCGAGGGGGCGGGGGCGCGCTGTATCGATAAAAATACGCGCTCCCACGGGTCCCATCCAGCGAAAGGTCTTGCCTACTCCCAATGCCAGAACAACAGGAATGGCCAAAAAAAACCTACGATCCGCCCATGAACCACCCACGAACCGCCCTGACCACCCACAAACACTCCATTCCTGCCAAAGAATGCGCCCCCAATAGCAAACCCCCACCTGCTCCAGCGCCGGGATAGCCTCGCTGATCACCCCGATATCGGCCTGCGCAGCTTCTATTTTTACGGCGGGTCCAACACCAAAATCCTCGGTTGGGTATGTGTGTCAAAGGGGACCCCCCTTTTTGGGTAAGAAACGTCCACAAGCAATGTTCAAGGCTTGGCAACTGTTGGGTTCTTGTGAAGTGACACGCCTGCCCAAGGCTCATAGACAAACCCGATTATACATGTTGAGTTGCAAGCCAACACACACACACACATGGTGATGCGAGCATGGATGACTGACAAGTGGAGGGCAAAGGCAAGCTCCAGCAGGACGCCTTCAGCTCGGAGACATCCTTCACGTAAACGGTGTGCTCCTCAGGAATTTGAGTCGCAAGGATTCCCCTACAAAATGGATTTGTGCTAATGTAGGATTCCGCCCCCTCCCATCAAAATGGCTCCGGTGTTCCTTTGCGTTGCCTTCATGAAAACAAAAAACATGTATATGTTTTTTTCGGTACTTGGGTGCTTCTCAAGACTTAGGGACCCCTCTGAGCAGCTTCCTTGTGCTTTCACGGGATGCTATGCTGGGGATATGTTCCCTTCCAACAATCAAGTACTGGACAGGAGGCTGTCAGAAGACAACGCCCATCCTCTTCCACTGTGCATAATTTGCCCATCCAACAATTGAGCAATGTTGACCCTGGATCGAAGTAGAACCCGTGCTACCAATAAGGGGTGTTCCTCCAAAAATCATGAACCCCGACTAAAAAGGGGACACCCCCTATTTATCAACAAGGGTTTTACTTGGATCCGGGGTTCACAATAGACGGGCGGGCTTTGGCAGACGAACCCTGACTTTCACGGGAAACTTCCATTCTGGGAATGAGGGATTGCAAAAATGATACATGGGCGTGTCATTTTTCTAGGGTGCCCCGTTTTGGGTGGATTTCCCTGGAAGTGATTTTCCAGGGAAGCGAAGGAACACCATCATTGTGATGGTCCCCCAAAGAAAGACACCCCAAATCACAGGGCTGCACTCCCACTACCAAGAATCAAGTGTACCAAGAACTTGTAACTTGTATTGCCGGAAAGTCGGCCACCTCTCCACGATGATCATCCCGCTTGGTGGCTTAGTGGCTGGCAAAAGGGTTAATCCTGTTTTATGAGGACTTGCTACGTGCGGAACCCAAAAACCCTTTGCAAACGACCCCTTGTTGGAGTGGCATGTTGATTTGAGGGTGCAAGTGGGACAGTCATCCAAGCACCCTGAGAACACCTTGTACATAGAAGTGTTCAGTCAGCGAGCCCCCTGCAACTGTTTCCTGGGAAAATATAATCCACTGACCCCAGTGCGAGGTTAGGATGCGCTTTGTTTTTGTTTGTTTGTTTGTTTGTTTGTTTGTTTGTTTGTTTGTTTGTTTACTTGTTTGTTTGGTTGGTTCGTTGGTTGTCCGTTTCATGGGAGGCTTTGGGTTCTACGAGCACCGCGAGTGAAACGAGAGCGCCAACAAATCCGGCCAAGAAGAATCTGGATCGCAAACTCCATCCTAGCGCCAGAGTGGTCACGAAGTCTTCTTCTGCCAGCTCTGGCAAACCTGTTACTCGACCTCCGCACACATGGGTGTGGTTTGTTTTGGGGAACCCCAAAAAAGTGGAGGGGGCCACCAACAAAATACCAACTCAGACAAGACGTGCCCACATCACCTTTGGCGTTTCCGGGTATCATGTTTGTTTTTGGTGAGACGGTAGGTGTGTAGCTGTTTTAGTGTATGTGTGAAGCCCGTTCAAACAGGTCTTCCCAGTGGATCCCAGCACCGGACATGTTCCTGCTGGTTTTGGAACGGGAAACCCCCTGACGTATCTCTCGCCTCAAAAAGGCTACCAAGAAAAACAACCCTGTTCCAGCACAACCCCAACCCCCACATATCAACCCCCACCCCTGGTCCTTCGGGGCCTTTAGGGCCCCTGGAAAACGGATCGGGCCGACGCGCGAGCGAGCGCTCGCATCTCCCGTCTCCTTCTCGCGCTCGGTGGAGGCGCTCTGCATGGACTCCTTGGTGGCCACCTCGTCCGCCTTCTTGGCCTCAAGAGACGAATCCTCGAAACCCACCGAACCAGAAAAGTTAAAGGAAGAGGACATGGAACAAAACAGGAAGAAGAAAAAACATTCACTCTTATAATTAGAACAGTTCATATTTTGTTTTTTGGTTCAACTGATAATTAAACATGAAAAGCAAAATAAAAATTTGTCTCAGAGATGCAAAAAAAAAAAAACCTGGTACAGTATAGTTATTTGTTTCGATGCCCACAGGGCAAATGGGTTTGTCTCAACATAGATGGAACCCACAAGAGAACAGCAGCCTTGGGTTTCCTGGAATCTTGGTTGCCAAGTAGGTTGTTGAAAACCTAGGTTATACCTCACTCAGGTTCCAGGGGGTTGAGCCTGTTAGTGGGTGACCCAAATGGCTAACCACTTACTCACTTTCCCGAACATCCAAGTACCCGTCTTGTTTTGTCTCATTTGTTTCAAAATAAAATCCAAAAAGCTCTTGGCCACCCAACAGGGCTGTTTTGCATTTGGGGTGTTTTTGTGTTTTGGTTGCGGATTCATTCCTAGGCTTCCCTCTTTGTTCTGGTCGTGGGGCATAAGTCTTGAGTGCTAAACAAAACACACCCATTGGTTTTAAGGGGAATCCAAACAGCTTTGGCCACCCAAAAGGGGGACTTTCATTTCTGCCTTGTTTCATACTCCAAATAAGGATGTAAACCAATTAAGAAGGAGTGTCCCCAAAACTCACAGGGGCCTTTGACACCAAAGACTGGAGGTACATCCCAAATTCCTTATAGGCCTCAGTCTTAATTCCAGGGATCCGCTGAACATCATTTCTACGGGAGTAATATGGCCACCAACCATGTTGGTCCACGGTCAAAACTTCGACTTCCTTTGGCCATGACGTCCTGGTTCCGAGAAGGAGCCGCTTCGTCGCTTCGATGAACTTTCTGAAAGAATGGATGTCATTGACCTATGTTCGAGCTGCAAAGAAACGGGTTCTCTCAAGACCTCGTCTTTCCCATCTCCTTTCCACCACAGAGTCCATGACCATCCAGAACGGGCATCCATGAGCATGTCTTAAATCAAGCTGCCCAAAGCGCACAAAGGACAAAGACGCACGTGGAGGAGAAAAAAAAAAGGCGGGAAGCCGCCAAAGGAATCCGTTTCCTCAAAAAGTCCACACACACACGAGACGAACAAACACGCACACAAGAACAAAAGCACGCACACCCAGCCATATCGTGGATTCCCGAACTGCGAAGGCAGTTCCCGAAAAAAGTTCCTTGCGCAGAGCGATCTCAAAGGACTTGATTGATTTAAGAATGGCAGGCAGGTTGTCCCACCATTTCGAGAACAAGAATTTCACTTGAATGGACTCCAGGGTGACGAACACCTGGGTCATTGGCTCCCTGCTAGAGTTGCTAATGGACCCCTTTTCTTGGGCATAGTTTAAAACCCTCGTCCAAGGCAACTTCCTGTTTTTGTTCGGTGATATCAAGCCCTGAAAACAAAAACAAAATGTATGTGGAGTGGTTGGAGTGGGTGCCATATTACTTAAGAGCTTCCGAAACGGATTGAGATGTCCTTTTGGTTTCCTTCTAAACCAAAAGAATGCGTCGCCCACACCCAAAGAAGCGCCCCTGCCTCGATCTCCTGGGTCAGCTGCGCAATCTGTGCCTCCGCCTCTGTTGGGAAAGTCTGAAGGAGGCAATGCCCGTGCAGCTGTTGGTGATACATGTACATATACATATCGTAAGGTGTGTATGCAGGATGTGTATGCATACATACATGCATACTATTACTACTGCTTATTCTTGTCTATGCACATATGTATACAAATGATTATGTCTATGATTGTATTTATCATTGTGTCTTTCTCATAGCTATCATTCTTGTAAATGCTATTGTTGTTTCTAGGTATTATGAACAACATGTGTATTATCAGTGTTGCTATTTTGGGTAGTGGTGGTAGTAGTAGTAGTAGTAGTCGTGGTGGTAGCAGCAGCAGCAGCAGTAGTAGTAGTAGTAGTAGTAGTAGTAGTGATAGTAGTAAGTAGTGATAGTAGTAATAGTAGTAGTAGTAGTAGTAGTAGTAGTAGTAGTAAAAGTAGTAGAAGTAGTAGTAGTAGTAGTAGTAGTAGTAGTAGTAGTAGTAGTAGTAGAAGTGATAGTTTTATCATTGTTATCAAATGGCTTATTGATATGTTGTATAATGTTGTGTTTAAGAACATTATGAACAATATGTGTATTGTTATCGGTGCCATCGGGACGCCAATAATAAATATATCATGTTGCCTGGGGGAAAAAAGAATCTGGAAACTGTTATCTAATTATTGTCTATTTCGTTTTTATAGAAAGGACTTGGCAAAGAAACCAAACAAAATTCAAGAAATCAATAATCAAGCTGAAACGAGGAACGAGTAAAACAATGCCAAGCCTGTCCATAAAGACACTTTTCTATGTCTCTTTACTTATTCTTTGGATCTTGATTTATATTTTGGAAATCGTTACATTTAGAAGTTACATCAGATTTGTTTGTTTTCTTACTAATTCGTCTGCATTATTCGTCTTTGCAATTAGCTTAACTCTAGCAGGATTTAATACTTGTTGTTGGACTGGAAGTCACTTCTCATAGAATGAATTTCATACATTATTTCATCTTACTTTTTATGATGTATTTATCACCTGCGTTTGTTCATAAAAATCCCAGAAGTAGAAGTGGAAAGTGGGTCCCCAGCGGATTCCTCTATAGAGGTGTCTTTTTGTTGAGGTGGTACCCTTGTTTTTGTGGTTTTAAAGGGAAACGAAAAGGAAACCCGCCCGAAACCATTTTTGGGGTCCGAATCCCAAAAAAAGAGACGATTCTGGAGGCTCCATGTTGAACAGAGGTTCCCCACATAGGCGACGGCTCTCTAAAACAAACCCTTTGTCGGATGTGTCTAAGTTGTGAGCCACGATGCGTTGGGGCCAACAGCGAATCTTCAAGTAAAGGGGTGGGGTCCTTTGACCATGCCACACATTGGTTTCTTTCAAAAGACAGGCGCCAGTTTCGGATTCCCTTAAGTTTCCATGAGGAGCTGCCGTGACAGAAGCTCCGCAAACATCCGAGGTTGGAACATGTTGAAGCATTGGTTGAATAACCTTACTCTTGGTTGTCTTTGAAGGCAACGTTCGTCTCTTGGCTTTCATGATCAGATCTGATCTTCACTTGGCTTTCCTGTTCAGGTTTCATTCGCTCAAGCACGCTTGGGCGCAAGTTTAACTTGGGGACCCTTTGGTGGACGTGATTTGCCACCGGGAACTCTAAACCATTCAAATTCAAAACACGCACCAACTGCAACACTTGGAACATCCAACTACACGCATACCTGTTTTGCCCCAAGCATGTTTACACACACACACTTGAACTCCCGAAGGAGGTTGCTTATCTTCGAGTACAACTTTCGAGTACAACTTTCGAGTACAACTTTCGGCTTGCACGTCACTTGGCTTCTCTCTAGTGTCGAAAACGTTACCAGATCCAACATGAAGCACACACACACAGCGAAAACAAACAACGGGCCAAAGGGGCTTTGTATCATCGGCAGGTACCGGGTTGGCGTCCCAATCCGCATCACGAGCGCTGCATGGGCGTCTTCGTTGGCTCCCGTCCCACGCAGGCTCCGAGAGGCCCCTGCTATAGGTGGTTCCAGGGCAAACCTGGAACTCGCGCCCCCGTAGGTTTCCGGCAGGTCAGCAAGAAAGCAATTCAGGAGCCAAAATAGCCTGCGCGTCCTGGTGATCTAGAACGAACCCTAGATGCCAGGATGTCCTCCCCCGCGCGCACGATCATGAAACCTCCGGCACAAGACGCATCCAGCATGAAAGGCACGTGGGGGCCCAGGTTGGTGTCAAAGGAGTCCTGCCTTGAAAGAACACGTTGATCTCCTTGACAACGCCAATCTTGAAGTTTCCAAACGAAGGTCCACCGTACATAAATTGGGCTTCCCTCATCTTCGCCAGGGGTTGAGTCATAAACGATCCAGCGCTTGCTCCAGGTCCGATACGTGTTGCCATCCAGGGGTGGTGGTTCCTGGGTTCCAATCAAGGATGACAGGTTCATCAGGAACAAAGATCTTGACCCAATCCTCCCCCGCAAAGCGACTGAGCTCAACCCAAGGGCGCGGTGTCATGGGCCGGAGGTTCATCCTCAGGATGATCCAAGTCCATGGTGTCGTCTGGTGAAACACTACGCACCCAAAACAGCTGAACACGAGCATCAAAGCATAGAATTCAAGACAAGCACATGCAAAGCAACGAACTCAAGGCACAACCCAATTTTCATGAGCCGGCTGAGAGCTCACACATCCGGTAATGACTCAAAAGTAGACCGCGTAGGAGCGCTCAGGTTAGTGGTCCGACGAAGCGGGGCATAGCGCGGTCATGAAGTATTGTCAATACCAGGCGGTTCTGCGTTATAAGGTTCTAGGGCGAGATGTCCCAGCGTCATTGTTGGGAGGCGATGTTGAGCGAAGATGCTCGAGGCCAGTGATGACATCATCCCAGGTCACTTCCGCGGAGGGATTGGCGTGGATCAGGTTCAAAATGACCGCCGCAGCGTCATGCGAGCTGTTGTCCAGAGTGGTAGCAACGTCGGCCGAAGGAGATGATGACCAAGCGGTGCGTCGGCACATCATCACAGATAATGGAGGTGCTGGCGGTGGCGGCGGAGGTGCTGGAGGAAATGGTAGTGGTGGTAATGGTTCGTCATCAGGCCCACGCCTCAACCGAGTCAGCCAAGAAGGGAGGCGTCCACGCGACCATGTAATGTCAGTCTGGGTACTCTGATCCATTGTGCCTGCAGAACGAGTACGCAAACACAGAAGCAAAAGGCATGAGCGAATAACTTGCGCACACAAGAAACTGTTTTCCACAGCCGAGTCGATGTTAGATGGTGATCTTCTGGTACGTCTTCCAGGCTTGCTTCACTTCAGCAGTGTCCTTCGTGAGAAACTTGGCGATGGACTTGTAAGTTGGGCGCGAGTCCTTATCCGTCTTGCGGCGAACCAGTTCATCGATAGTCAGTGCGCATGGCCACATGAAATGAGTCAAGCAAGCGCGAAGGACCGCGCTGCACACGAGGAGGAGGATGTACTGATGCCGCTTGATCTGGAAATATGCAGTCAGAAGACGAGGAAACCGAGGACGCCAGCGGTGGAGAGGTACGACGAGGCTCAGCGGAGGGCAGGTCAGCATCACCATGATGGTCTGGAACTGCACTTGGTTCAGGTGCAGTCAATTGGAAGGCGGAACCATATACCACATCGTGGGCCGAAGTCGAACAGGAGTACGTGATCGTGCACGTTCTGGATGAGGAGACGGTGAGTCCGCCACCAAGCGTAAACGAGTGCCATGGCGAAAGTTGCGCGGAGGTGGCAAGCTGTCAATGATGTTTGCGCTGGATGCGTTGGTACTCCGCGAGGCCATGGCATACTACAGCGAGTTGATGGCAACGGTCACCGATGACACCAGCATCTGCAACGTCGCCAGGAGATCTGCTACAAACACATCAGACAGGCGCATGACGGATACAAAGAAACTCACTATCAAATCAAGCACGAAGTGGCTAACGAGGGACATCGGTCAAGCAAGCAAAGCAACTGCACTGCGCAAACCAGGGATCATTTTCCACAAGCCATGTGATCATCGTCCACGAGCTTTCCCTCAAGATCGGCAGGCAGGCATCGCCTTAATCTCGAGCGGGCCGCTTTTGGGCACAAAGTGAGTTGAATGCCTGCGTCTGGATCTTGATCTATAGATCCGCCTGCCTCTGCGAGATCGTCCCCTGCGGTTCCTTTCACGTGATGCATCTGGGGACACGCTCATTGCCTCGTCGATGGGATTGTGCACATTCGGAGTCAGCGTGGTGGCCGTAAACGTAGTCATCGCGGGATTTGCCTTGGTGGCGTGTGACGAGTGGGCCTTGGCTGTGGACACTGAATCAGGAGGGGGTAGAGGTGGAGGTGGTGGTGGTAGTTCTGAAGGTGCTGCATGGGGTGGCACGTGTGGAAGAGGAGGTGGCGGGTTCTGCGTCATAGGTGGAGGAGCGCGAGGTAAATGAGGAGGAGGTGGGAGTGCGGGTTGTCGAAGAATCCGAGCAAGCATCGTTTGAACTGTCTGAGCCGAGTTCTCAAGGCGTCGCTGTCCGTCCAAGAGTATGCTGATCTGAGAAGTCATAGACGAAAGTTGCGCTCGGCATTCTCGAAGTAGATCACCATGGTCCATGTCGATGTGAACAGTTCCAGGTATCTAAGGGTTTGCCCGGCAGCTGCGGAGTAGCATCAGCATACGCAATATGGAAACGCAAGAGCAAACAATCAGGCAAAAACTATGAATGCGCACAACCAAAACCTGCACAGCGACATTCACAAGCGCACCGGTTCGGAAGACTCAGCAACGTCACAACTGAAGAGTCAAGAAAGAGAGCTTATTGTAAAAAACACTGCCGCACTGCCGTACAAGAGGTGGAAGAGCTGGATGAGGTCATTGAGGGCATCGCTTCCAGAAGATGGCAACGTACGGCCGCCAAGCTCCGAAGCTTCCACCGCCCTTCCCTGCTGCGCACGAGGTCATGGAAGTGCACAGCAGCGGTGTCGGCGAGGACACCACCTCTTGAGACCAAAACGTGCTGAAGTTCCGCCGGC